CTGCTGAAAATGGGAGTTTGGAGTATCTACTTTTCATATTCTGCAGTGTTCAGATGGTTGCCACTCAGGCTTGCCTTCTGCTTCCCAACAGCTTTTATCTAACTCCTGTCATGCAGTGGAGACTGTCAACAGTGCCATTTCATGGTAAAAATTTTTTAATAACTCAGATACTGCGCTTGGGGGAAACAGGGCAGAAAAGCAGGCCGATGATTTACTGATCCTGGATAATCAGTTTATTTGATTTAAAAAATATTATTGAGTTTTAATGGTTCATTCGTTCTGTTTGTTTTTTTTTTTTAATCCTTCAAATAGGTGACCTTGGGCTGAATTTTGTAGCAGGCACTATCTGACTTAGGGGTGCTTTTTTCCATAGGAAGTTGCCCATGAAATAAAATTATATGTGCAAGGTGTCAGGCCAAAGCCTGGTGAACAGCATGTGCTCAACCATGCTTAGGTCTCTGTCACTCAGTACTTTCATCCTGGCCTCAGGGTGCCCTTGCTTCATGCTAAGACTGCATTAAAACACAACTGCTCGATGCCCTATTTGATCAGAACCTTGACCTATTATACTGCTAAATCCGGTAGTGACTTAATAAGATCATTCCTCATCTTCTCCCACTTCTCTTTTTCCAGACCTATCTAGATTAATACTGCCGTGATCATGTGTTTGACCCCACTCCCGAAACAAAATAAAAATGTGACAGCAAACACAGAAACAAATCACAAAGCCCAAACTGCAAGCAATCTTTGATAAATCCTTTGATTATATTAGTATTTTAAAGAACACTAATATGACTTAATCAATCTGGGTTGGGGCCAGACATTGTTATTTTTAAGAAGCTCACCAGGTGATTGTACTGTGCACCCGGCATTAAGGACTACTGAAGTGTCCACCTCTTCAGCATTCCAACGAAGCTCTTCTCACGTAATGATTTCAGACTGGAGCCACATTTCTTCCTGTTTCCCACTACTGCTACCCATTCGTCTATCCTCCTCTGCCCATATCACATGGGTTGCTTGTTTTCTACTCCTGCCATGCAATTTCCTTTTTAATCTTTTCTTTCTTTGCTTCTCTCTTTTGTTTTATAACTCATATGTCTTAAATAACTATAATGATTATATCATTTTAATGTAATATTTCTTAAGACTTAATATTTTTAGTCTTTTTAGGGTTTTTAGTTATTAAATTTATTTCATTTAAAGTGGGATATATGCTTAGTATAAAATATTTTAAGACACCCAAGTACATGAAAAGTGAAAGCTTCTACCCCCAAAATAGCCACAGTTAATAATTTTATGTTTTCTCTTAAGATACTTCGAGTGGTATTTTATGATACCTATTCCTTAGCAATTTACTTTTTTTCCTAAATATATGTATTGTGGCTTGCTGTATCAGAATAGATCTGTCTTATTCTCTTCATGTTAATATGCTATAGTTTGCTTTTAGTCTTTTCCTTATTCACAGATGTTTAGGTTGACTTTTAGTTTCTGTTGTAACCTGCACAACATTAAATTAATTTTTTTGTACATCACTGCTAGGCAAATTCATGGAAGTAGAATTTTGGTTTCAAAGGTATGCTCATTTTTAGTTTTGATGGATATTGTCAAATTGCCTTTCAAAAAGTCTTCACCAGTTGACTCACTTCTACCAAGTTTATCAGAATACTTATTTCTCAATCTCACTGTTTTTAAAAAAATTTTGCCAATCCGATGGATGAAAAAGGTAACTCGTTATTTTAGTTTATATTTTCCCTTTCTTTACTTCCTCCTTCCTTTCTTCCTTTTTTTCTCCCTCTCTATTTCAATAAATATTTTTGAGCACATCGTAGGTATTAGTAATGTGATAATTAAAGATGAAACACACACACATTGTATCTATAAATACATATATTCTTCTGTGACCTGCCTTTGAAAAACACGGTTTGTGCGACACACCTTATTGTCCTTGCACTGTGCTTTCACTCTGTCTTCTTCAGATCTCCAGTGACACATCGTCCAGCTTGTTGTGATGGTGGCACATTCCTGATGGCCTAGTTGAATCTGCCTCATCTTGTCATCCGTGAAACTGTCTCTCACTCTCACATTCCATCTTTATTCCTTGGGAATATTAATGGTTCGATTTTCTGAGTTTCCATAGCTTTATTCATATTTCTGGTACTACCACTTTGTTCAGCTTTTCTTGTGTTTTTAGTTGTTTATATATTGTTACTCTAGATTACCCTTTCTCCATGTTTCTGATACCAGATATAGAAGTCATTTGACGTATGCCAGATGAAGTGCTATTCCTGGGCAAGTGGTCCTTATTCAAGGCCCCTGAAACTGTATCATATAAATGGCTTCCTACTTTGTATATAGTCTGGACTGATCACAGATTCAGTGTAGGCATATGGAAAGGAATATAAAGGCTGTGCAACATCAAGAACCATTAGAATGAAAAATAAATCCACAAATTTACCAGGGATTAATCTAAGTTTTTCAGAAGACATAAAAGGAGGTGACTTAGATCCATTATCCCATGAGAGATGTAGTTTAAAGAAAATTTTGTACTAATAATGTTTTATATTTCTGAGTAATAGGAACATCTCCTCATTATTTGTTATCACTACTTTTTACAGTGCTTGACACATTGTAAGATCTCAGTATTCTTTGCACTGAGTTTACAGTATACAACTTCTCCTATGAATTTTATTACTTTTGACTCCTATCATCTTAACACATGGTAGGTGCAGTTTGGCAATTGTGGTAGACAGAGATATATTAATGCTTCCACATTATAGCCAAAAATATTGTTTCAATGTGGTCAAAGGGTGGGCTTCAGGCCACTGCTACTAGCTTGTAATTAGCCATTAAGATGAAAGCCTATGCCCCCTGACTCCTCAACCAGTGCTCTTCCTTTCTTAGATGGATGGACTTCTCTGAATTGGGTTTTGTACTTGTTCTAATCTCCTTTAGCATCATGAAAACATTATGAAACCTGATTGAGTCTTATTTCCATTGGGAAAATAGTATTTTAAATGCCCGATACATGGATTTATACCCAGCAGATTCTTTGTACAATTTTATATTATCAGTGTTTTACTTTTCAGTCAATTTTTTTCCCATTTTTTTTTTTTTTAGGATCCTAGAAAACTTCTCTTCACGACTGGTAAGCTGTTATTCATTGCTCTTTCATAAGATTCAGGAAAATCTTTGAAAATAGGCATCATCAAATTGCATAGCAACTAGTTGTCTGTTACTATGTAACAGGAAAAATTTGCATATCAGAATAAATATTAGGAGTTTGAGTTTAAAGTTGCAATGAAAACAGAGGGACGAGGAAAACAGTTGGGGTTCAATTGAAGAGTAAAAGTAAGAAAATACATTTGTCTTTCATATGTTCTCCCAATGAAAATAATGTTATATGTTTATTGAGGACCTGCTTTATACATACTGCTGTGGCAAGTACTGCTAGAGATAATACATGTGGGATGGGTTCCTACCTGCAGGGTGTTGGAAAGAAACACCAAGCACTCTGAGTATCAATGTATTTCTTATAATTCAGATATTTAGTAGGATATTTTGTGATCTTAAAACCTATAAAAAAGAGGAGAAATAGTCAATAAAATCAGTTATTTTTCTTGAAATGTGTCTCCTTTTTTATTTGTAATTTACTTTTCCTTCTCAAGCATCTTGTCCATGAAATCTCAGTCTAGACTATTAATTTGTTAAAGCACATTTGAATATCCCAAAACTTTGCCATGATGTTAGTATAATTCTTACTAAAATTTTTCTCTTTTTCAATCTGACATTTATACTGATGAAAGGAGAAAACTATTTTGGGGATTTTAGCACATGTATCAGGGATAAGGATGATTGGGTAGTTGAGATAGTATATTGTAAAGGCTTGTGTATAACATCCCATCAAAGATCAGAATTGCATATGGAACTGAGGCATGGGCCTGTCAGATGCACTGTTTTTCTTTTCAATCAATTTTATGATGAAAAATAACAATATCCAGGTGTTTTCCTCATCCATGTCACAGCTATGTTTAGATTTATAAAATATATTTTGTTTCTGCCTTATGATATTTGCCACTTGTGAAGTATTTCACAGATTTCTTTTTAGGAACATTCTTTAGCTTCGTTTACAGCTTTGATCATTGAAAACATAGTTATATTTAAGTCTTAATAATTAGATGAGAAATGGAAGGGGAAAAAAGCAGAAAAACAAAACTTTTAGTATGAATCAATGTATTTTTTGGTTTATATGAATTAATTTAAGAGAAATAATTAAGAACTTTGTTTTAATATTGTTTCATACAGCACAAAATATAGTCAAAACCTTGGAACATTAGAAGTGTTTTAAAAAGTTTAGTTTACAAAGATACAAAAAAATTTCTTATATGACAAAAATATTAAATTAAGGAACTTAGTGTAATTAATACTTCTATAGAAACAGATGATCTCTCCACCTAAGCATGAAACCCCATCACTATTTGTTCTTTCCCAGATGTTCTCATGAGTGGAGTTGAACTAAGTAGAGACAATACTTGAAAACAAATTTCCTGGCTCCATTCCAGAGATTCTCTGGAGGGGCGACCTGCCAATATATTTTATTAACCTTCCTATGTACCTTGGGAGCTTCTGTTTTGCCCTTACTGAGCATCTCATAATACTCTTAAGCATAACTTCTCAACACCAGCTATATTTTGCCCACTCTCTTACCTTACTGTCTTTTTTTTTCACCTGGTCATCTCCTGTTCATTCTGTAAGTCTCAGCTGATGTGCCGCATTATGCACAAATTCCTCCCTAATTCCACTAGCCAGAGCTGACCTCTTCTTGGTCTGGGTTCCTAAAGATAAATAGTAAAATTACTATGTTGTAAAATGTGTATTTCCTTAGATATACTGTCTTTTCTACTTGAAGGTGAGCTTCTCCAGAGTGGGGCAGGGCAGCCCTTAAGGCATACAGACAACAGGCAAATATTTTTTTGTAGAGTTTCTGTCAATACAAATAATTTGTATCACCCCAAATCAGTGTGTCAGCATCATTTTGATGGTCTAGTCTACATCATTTCATGAAAGCAATTCTGTGCTGGCCAGTCTGGAATGTGGGCCCTCCTGAGCATGAGTCTAGAGCTCCTAAGGCATCTGATTGACCCCACTGAATAGTAGCAGGTGGGAGAACAAGGCAGAATCTAAGGATGGTAATGGGAATGAGTGACGCTGTTTTCTACAAATAGACAATCTAGCTTTGTATTTTTAATTCATCTCTGACTAAAACTATTTTGTAGCTGTCTTTGAATGTCACCATCCATAGCTCCTCAGAAAAATTAAGTTCCAGATGAAGAAATGCATGCATGTTTTTAGCTGTTCTACTGATAACAATTTTTTATTAGTTGACATGCTTCTTGGATTTTAGTTTGCTTAATGTTACATAGTCTTCTCTCTGTCTTTAAAATTTAAAAATTTTTTTCAATGTAACCTAGGACTGAGAAATTAAGATTGTCCTATAAAAATAAAACTTGTGGCACTATAAGTGACATAAAATATGATTGTTAGACTTACTAAATAAGAAATGTTAAAAACATTCCAATTAAGAATTTAGAAAATAAAACAAGTTTAAAAGATTGGATTAGTGAAACATTCATTTAAAAATGCTTAATACGTATCTCCAAATTTTGTAGTACTGTGTATAATGAGAATAAAATGCACAATATCTATTTCAATTAGAAAAACCCTTATAAACAAATACAATTATGTTTCCAGTTATGCTGGAGAAAAAAAAGGATAATGAATACAAGATGGTGTGTTTCTGACCACATCTGGGTAAGGATGAAAATGATCTCTGTTTCCTCTAGAAATGGCAGTATAATGAAATCATTCATTTTAAAGGCTACTAATTAATGAATGTAATTGTAGTTTTTTTCATTGCTAATTACAAATAAGTTTTTCTGCTTCACTGACCTGAAGTGTATTATGCTGTAAATTATAAACTCTGGTCTTTTTACACTTCTAGTAGAAAAGAAAAAATGAATTCTTTACATAAAAAAGATAACTTCATAAATCTGAAAGAACATTAAAAAGCATTGAATTGATTTTACTTAGTTTACAGATGAAGTTCAGTGAGATTGGGGTTTGGCCTTGAGAACAGTAACCATTTTGTAATGCCAGAATAAACATGCCATTGGTCAGGTTGTCTGGGGCATCTACTTCATCTTCAGATGACTGCAGTCAACTATTTTACTCCCTCTAAATCTTTCTAATATGTTTTCCAAGTTCTGCTCTAAAAGAAGTTCTCTAGTTAAATGTTTGAGGAAATATTTGTTCAAATTTAAACTTTTTTTTTTTTTTTTTTTTACTTTAGTACTGCTCAGAGACTTTAATACACTAATGTGCCTTGTGACTCCTCAGGGAATGGTTACGGCATCTTTGAGTAACAGAAATTAATACCTCAAGGAATTAATGCTCAAATAATACACCTTGGAAATTATGTCTCTATTCTAAACACACTCAGTTTTTTCAGGTGTCTTTCTGATGAAGTGCTTTGCAAACATTCTACAACTAATCTTGGCATATTTAGAACCACATGAGAAACCTTGTATGTAGACATAGAGGTTAATGAAGCACCAACAAAATTATTGGGAAGGCCTTCAATCACAAAATAGAATATCCCATCTGGGATTCTATTATTTATTTATTCATTTGGTCAAATAAGGATTTTTTAAAACTTACTTGAAGCCAGAAAGAGAAATCTCCTCTTTTTTTTCTTCTTCAAATTTATTGAGTTATAACTGAAGAATACAAATTATACATTTGTAAATTATGCTGTCTGATTGGTTTTGACATAAGTATATACATGAAACCGTAACCAAAATTAAAATAACAAATATATTTATCATTCTAAAAAGTTTTTTATATCTCTTTATAATGCATCCTACCCTCTACCCCTCCTTGCAACTGATCTGCTTTCTATCACTTCACCATAAAAAACAAAACAAAACAATGAAACAAAACAAAAAAAAACTAAAGAATGGTTTGAATTTTCTAGAATGTTATATAAAAGGAATCATAGAACTTATACTCTCTGGTTTGTTTGTTTTTTGAGGGAGTCTGTTTTTTTCCACACAGCCTAATTTTGTGAGTTATCTATGTTGTGTATACATCAACAGTTCATGGTTTCTTTTCTTTTCTTTTCTTTTTTTTTTTTTTACTACTGATTACTTTTTCCAGGTACAGATAATACCACAGTTGTTTATCTATTTATTTTGTTGCTGGAGATGAGTTGTTTACAGGTTTTAACTATTACAAGTAAAGTGGCTATGAACATTTTTGAACATATCTTTGTGTGGATATAAAGTTGTGTTTCTTTCAGGCAAATAACGTGGGAGTGAAAAGGCTGGATCATTTCGTAGGCATGCTGTTCCTCTTAAATAGTATTTCTCTGTACTATTAGTTCTTTATTGTAAACAGTGTAATTATCTTGCTCTTCTATTACCCCTAGGAAGTAAGTACTCACCTGGGGCAATGGGGAAGATGATGGGAAAGAGAATACCCTGAGAAAAAATGTAGAGAAGAGATGGTTTGGATTAGGCACCTCAGGGAAAGGCAAGTGTTAGGCTTCAAAATCTGCGTACTGGGAAAAGTGAGGAGGAAAGAGTACTGAAGTATTAAGTATCCAAGGCTGACTCCCTTATTTCTCATGTGACCCTTTACAAGTAGAAACTTGTTTCTACTGTACTGAAATTTCTAATGTTATTTTCCAGGGATTCTAAACTGTCTGGAATCCTAATGATGCACACCTATTTTGCTCTCATATTGTACTCAGCTTGCCTGCTTCTGCTAGTGGCTTTGAGGCCATGATGGCCCTTCTGTTTCATAGGTAGTTCCTTGGCAAGAAGAGAAATGGAGAGATGGCTATACTTTAGGAGAGAGAATTATTTTATTAGCTTTTCTACGAAGACTTAAGATGTAATCTCTCAGCAAGGACATTTAGGACTTACTGTTGCTTATATGATTGTAAGAATAAATAAAGGCAACTTGTAGACAGGATGTTTTATTTGGTAGTAAAAAGATAATAAGAAATGAGCCTTTCAATTTTAGTTCTTTTTGATATTGTGTATCAGCTATTCACTTTAGTTATGCTCTATGAGCTAACACTGGGTTTGTAGCAATCTATCATGTCAGTGTTAATTTTGAAAGCTAATATGTTTACACATTTTCTCTTTTTTTTTTTTAAAAAATTAGTGTTATGTCATATCTGAAGCACTGATTTCAACATGTTTTCCAGACTAAGGGGAAATATGTCTGCAAGTGTTCTTTAAAACATCAACACTATCATTTATTTTTTCTTGAAGTCCATGATTTTTTATTCTACACTTGAAGCTGTGGTTTTTAGAAAGCTTTAGGTTTTGTTTATTTTTTTCTTTAAAATTATTCTAGATAATGAAACCCAAAAGAAATCGTTTGAAAATGAAACTGAAGCAGCTACTAGTTCTATAAAAAGAGGGGAGGAGAGAGTAAGGGAGTTTAATACCATGATGGAGGAAACCAAAGCATTAAGGGTGTTGAATGTTACCTCCATCCCATGGATTAATTTGGTGTAGTATGTCCATGTAGAAGCATGTACATATTCACCGTTTTGAGTAGAATATTTTAAAATACAAAAACAAACTCTTCTATTAAAGTAGAAAATAGTCTCCTTTGTCTTGAGTACCTTGAAACTGTGCTAATTTAAAACGAATTTTTTGAGAGGGAACATACGAGATATGTAATTTGAACTGGGCTTCCCACAAAGCAGCATAATACTTTGGATTTTAAAGCAATAATTTTTTGTACTTTTTTTCTCAGTATGACTTAAGTTAAAATGTACTTATGTACATTTTTATAGTTCCTGGCCTGACAGGCGTCTGCATGGTATTGGTACTATTCCTGATGATCACAGCTTCTACATATGCGATACGGTGAGTGTCAGTCATGATTTCCATGTTTATTGGTCCGGTTATTTAGATTTTCTTTAGATTATCTTTATTTTCATGTGTAGGAAAAGTCTTGATTAACCAGGATGCTTCGCCGATAAAATATTCTGGTTAATGGACTATTCTATGTAACTGAAAGTGAAGTAGAAACATTTCTATATATCATTTCCTGTTTTTGAAAAATCTATTTTAGTTGAATAGTCTCCAGTGGTAAGGAATCATGTATGGAGACATTTTAAACTGAGGAAATTTGAGTTCTTCAGAGTCATCTTTCTGAAGAATAGTGTATCTCTATGAGACATGGGATTGACTTCAGTATATATGCACAGAAATATATCATTTAAATTATTTTATATTTTATTTCCTGATGTGAGTTTATTTTGCTGTAATTTAATGTAGTATTGTAAACAAAGCTTTGGAAACATGGTTAATTGACATCTGCTAAAATAATCGGAAATATCTGCATTCACATTTATTCTAGTTAAGAGATACTGAGCAATTGCAGATATACATTTTTATGAACACTTTCATAAGTTCTTTCTGATGGATACATTCTGTTTACTATGTTACTGGGCAAACTTCTTGGTTAAGAAACCAAAAAGAAGAAACAATATATAATCTTCAAAAAACCTCAGTCATTCTATTGTTGGGATATGAAATTTAACAGAAATACGCACACACATATGCACACACACATACTTTGAGAACAGTTGCCCTACAGCATACTCATATAAGCTATCCTTGTACTTCTGAACCCATCTATGTACACATATACACACCTCAAAACCTCACAAGTAACTTACCACTCAGAGATTAACAATATAAATTTTCTGGTATTTGTTTTTACAGACTTAATTACTTCTTTTGCTCCCTCATTCCCCATCTTCTATATCCACCAAAATCACTATCCTTTTCTCCCTTTTACACTCCTGATCTCTCTCTCTTCATATATCTACATATTTTACCAAAGTTGGACCATATTTATACATACTTTTTAAAGTCTACTTAAATATTTATCATTCTATATAGTGTATCACTATATAGATAAATGCTACTTCTGCAGCCCCCTATTATTAGATATTTTAGGTTGATTCTATTTTTTCAGTATTTCAATTGTGAAACAAACGCCCCGTTAATATGTCTTTGTGTACTTTTTCAATTATGTCCTAAGGAAAAATACCTAGATGTAGAATGGCTGGGTCAAATGGTAAGCACACTTTTAAGACTTTTCATAAGAATTGAAAATAAATTACCTTATAGAAAGAGAAATCTCTAACATTAGTGCATGAGGGTGCCAATTTTGTGGGAAAATTTTAAATTTTAGTTAGGTCAGGCATTTATTTTAAAAACATACTTTGTTAGTGTTAGGAGTTCTTGAAAGAAAATTAGGACATCTGACATATTTATTTACGAGACTGAATATATATGAATGTTCTACATCTAGAAAAAAATCTAGAGATAGTTTTGTAAAGTAGAATATAATGATCAGCTTAGCCATTACATAAATTATTTGGTGAACATGTCTTAATCTTTCGTTTTTTCATTTATTTATAAAAGATTAAAAAACCAACTCTGCTTTTCTCAAAGCTTTATTATGAAAATCATGAAATTCTAAAATGGATCATAGAAATGACCATTTACCCTTTCTCTTTACCAGTGAGGAAATAAAGCATTAGAAAAATTAGGTGAATAAATATGACTCCAGCATTTGATTTCTGATAGTCGAATGTAGTCTAGTAATTTATCGATGGTTCGATATAGGTCAATCTATTAAAATAAGTAATATATCCTAAAACCAGATGACAGGAATACAAACATTTTTATCTCAATAGACTTTAAAATGGCAGTCGTTAAATCGAAACTCTAATTCTGGATTAAAATAATCAGAGTATATAAGGAATTAATTTTATTTATAGAATTAGAAAATGTAAAAGCCAGGACCGAGATTATACTTACGAGTAAAACATGAGAAACATTTCTAAGAAAATTATGAAAAAGTAAACGTGATATTTTTAATTCCACTAAAGCATACCATTACTTACATATAATAAGAAGTGAAACATTTATAATTAAAAAGAATGCAACAATAAATTATCATTATTTCCAGAAAGATAGTTGTAATTTTCTGACCAGAAAAATCCAAGAGAATTATGGAAAAAATTAGTGTTATATCAAATAAAAGAATTGAAATAGGTAATTGAGTACCAAAAATCATTTAAATAGCCCTATTACATAATAGCTATTATCAGTTTGAAAATTGAATAAAATAAAAAGATACCACTAACAATTGCAACAAAAACAAAATATCTAGGAATAAACTTAATAAGAAACTAGGTAAAAGCTATATAGAAGAAAGAACACAATTTCACTGAAATAAGTAGAAATTTGAATAAAGACTATACACTGCAAAGATAGAGTTTTTCCTCAATTATTTTATAAGTTTTTTTGCAATTCCAATAAAAATCCAAGATGGGTTATTTTGTTTGTTTATTTATTGAATTTAGTAAAGCAATTCTACAGTTCATCTGAGAGAACATCCAAACGCATGTCCAAAAAAGGAGTAAAAAGGGAGATGTAGCTTACTAAACATTGAAATGATTAAGCATCCGTAACAGAACCGATTAGGACTCACAAAAATAACCAAGACATTGAACCAATGATAGAGTTGATAGAAAGCCTTCTAAGGGACTTTGCTATATATAAGAACCTGCTAAATGACAAAGGTGCCATTACAAACTTATAAGAAAAGTAAAGCTTAAGTGGAGAAAATTTAAGATAACTTAGAGTTAACTGTAAAACAATTACATCATTAAAATTTAAAAGGAACTTTAAATGGATATCAGATCTCATAATGGACAAGAAAAAGTATAGGAAATACTTATCTAAAGATATGAAAACTAAATATACATTATGCAATTGAAATGTAAACATGTTGTTTGGCAAATTATTACAATTATGTGGAACTAAGACATGCTTAAAATTTGAATAATTTACTCACAACAATTAAGAAAAATTCACTATAGAAATGGGTAATTATTATAAGCAGATAAGTCTCAGAAAAATTAAAAATGTGTAACACACAAATGAAATAATACCAAATTCCACTTATACAAAATAACGTAAACTTATAAAGCAGAGTTTGGGTTTGGGGAAACAGGCATTCCTATTCTACAGTTGGAATAGTAATTGATAAACACGTTTCAGAGAGCAGTGAGCAGTGCGTATCAAACACATTGCAAACGTGCACCCTTTGATCTAGCAATTCCACTTCTAGGAATTTAGATTAAAAAAGAATCAGATATGTGCAAAAAGGCATATGTTACAAAGATGTTAATGATTTTGTTTATAATAGCAAAAATCATGAGTGAAGTAAATGTGAATCAATTGGCTGTTGCTTAAATCAGGGATTCTAAAAGGTTTAGGGGTTGTAGCAGAATCATCTCAGAAGCTTTTACAAATACCCACCCTCCACCTCTAAGATTCTAATAAATGAATATCCACCCTGACATATGAAATACAATAACTTTTAGTCTTTTTTACTTATCTCAAAC